GGGGAGGCCAGGGAGGGAGCGTGCTCGCTAAACTCAGCTGCTCCGGGGTAAACGTGCAGCCTCCCATGCTGGCCTTAGCACAGGCTTGCTGCGATTCCCATTGCGAGTCGACGGGAACAATATATTTGTTAATTTTTAATTGTTTATCAGTATCGCAATTCTCCATTCAAATTGTGGGTTTGGCGGTCGCTGCGTCCCCTAGGTTGCTCGGGTACTTAGAGAGAGCGATTTACCGCAGAAAAGGTGAATTATGATGGAAACCAGGGTTTTGAAGGCTTCCCAGATACAAAGTCACGTACGGCCGTCTGCCTGGTGGCGTTGGCTTGGTGTAAGCCAGGGTGGAAACCAGGCGTTGGGCTCTTCCCATCTCTACTCGTGCGAGCAATCCCTCCTTGCCCCTGTAATCCCATTGACCCTGCTTGGCGCGAGGATTTCTCCTGCGAGCAGAGCTTGGCATCCAGCCTCCTGCCTATCCCCGAGCGCGTTTGGGGAGCTGCCTGCACTTTCCCTGACGTGTCTTCCAAAAATGAGCTGTGCCTCCGGGGCGTTTGTAGCTCCAATAGCAAAACCTGGATCTGCTGAGTTCCTCTTGCTCGCCAAACACCCCTCGGCTTTCCCATGGGATGGACGTATCCATCCATCCTGCAGAGTAGGACACGTGCTTTTCTGAGCCGTGCGATCCTGTTGTGGAGGGAAGGGTAGCTGAGGTTTGCAACCAAGAACTGTTGGAAAATAGCTTTTTGCCTCCAGTGTTAATGCTGTCTTCTTCATAAAAGCACCTGTGTTTTTTTAAATCGCTCCTATCCTGCGCCCGTTTTGCAGTCTGGCATTTCTTACTTGCCTGGCAATGGAATTGCACCAAGTTCTTCTGAAGAGCATCATCATCTAACCTTGCCTTACTCTTTACTGTTTGAATCCTGTTGTTTGGTTAACTAATTTGGGCTCCATTCCCTCCCAGGCTGGGCCTGTGGTGGCTCCTGGTACTTTTCCTAGTCGTTGCTGGCTTGGAAATAGTGGCTCCCTGCTTGTAGGTGGCCCACCGGCATCCTTGTTGATGTTTGGGGATGTGGCAATGGTGGTGTGCAAGGGACAGCGGGGTGACAGGGGTGCACAGCCTAAACGGGATGTAGGAGTTGGCTGTAAGACATGGTGTGGTCACCTTCAGTGAAGCATGGGTGAAATCCTCCATCTGGGGAGGGGCGTCACCATGAATTAAGCAATGCTGGTCTGAACGCAACGCGCTGGTCTAATGTCTAAATTGACTTCAATGGTGGGTCCTCGTGAGAAGCGAGTTGTTTTGTACGTGCAGGACCTGTTGCTTGCCCCAAGCTTGTTGGGGAGGTGGGAAAACTTGAACATTATCCCTGGTTTGTGGCTGTTAGGAGGAGGTGGCAGCCCTGCTGTGTTCCTTGGTGGGTGGGCACCATCCTTGGCAATATCATCACCAACAACTGAGACTAGGAGGGGGCCCAAAGTGGAGCTGGGCTCCTGAGCCTTCAGGTGTGTGCACCAGGCATGGAGGAAAACTCCTCTCCACAAAGGTGTCCAGGTTGTTTCTTGCCTGGTAGCCTCCAAATGAGAGGTCTGGTGTACGGCAGATGAGATGGGAGAACCTGAAGGAATTAAAATAACACTTTTTAAACGAGTTAATTGACCTGGAGAAGCAAGTGTATTGATTTTGAAGGAGTTCTATCCTCTTTTTTTTCCAAGTGTAAGGGTATTCTTGATAATGACAGTGGGTTTAAAGGGATTGCTTGATTATAAAGGTAAACTGGAAGTGAGAAGCAAGCAGGGAAGGGAATCTCTATGTTTCTTCGTTAGGTGAAGCGAACAGCTTGTGGTTATCGTACACGGTGGCTATGAGTGGCCTCGCAGAGCCTTAATGGTTTAACTGGTGAAGAATGTGGGTTGCTGCTAATTCAGTTTGAGCGCGAATGGCTTGGCCTGCCGTGCACGGAGAAGAATATGGAAACCATATTATCCGTGCACAGAAATAGAAGTTTCGGGTATTACATAGCGCTATTTAAAAGCCTGCTATAACTTCCTTCCTTCCTTCCAGCCTGGCCTCGCTGGGCGGCTTTGGTCCCAGCTGCTCGGAGCCATCAGGACGCGGTGACCTCCTCCGAGCCACCAGTAAAGGTCAGGCAGGAGCATAGGGTGCCCCATGGTG